TCATAAGAAGCTTAATTAATGTATTTGAATTAGACTACCCTACAACGGAAAAAAAAACCTACAAATAATAGTGGCAAGAAATCCCTCTATTTATAGACAACAAAGGGTAGTGTGAATAAATGCTTATTGTACCTTATCGGAAAGGTCACAACTCTTTGGAAAAGGTACAACCCTTTGAAAAGGTCACAACCTTTCATAAAAGTTACAATTTTTCATAAAAGTCGCAACTCTTCATAAAAGTCACAACTTTTCATAAAAGTTACAACTTCTCATAAAAGTCATAACTTTTCATGAAAAAATATAACTTCAAACATATAAACTATACTTATATCGATTGCAGACAAAATTAGGCTTTTTATGGAACAATAGTGACATAAAGAGTAGCTACAACTAAGATATCATCAATCGTTGTGGTAGAGATGTGGAAAGAATAAATATTTATTAATCCTTAATTAGACGTCTTAAATTTGAGCTTCGGGAATGGAGTCACCTTTGGTGACACAAATCATGAGTTTCCGGGTGACAAAGCAGGAAGGGGAAAATGCAGCACGAAATACTAGATTCATATGAACCTAGTAATTTTGGCGCGGAGTTTATGTGTAAATATATCACTAAAATCAAAATAAATAATAGGCCAGAATCCATACTTTTAATTTACAAATAGAATAATTTAAATGTTAAAAATCTTAAAAATTGAACCGATAAAACATAAATTCTTCATAGGCACTTCCAATTTCCTTTACATGATGAAACCAAATAGAGCCTTTTTCGAAATGTGATGGAAAAACAAGGATTGAGCAGAAATAGAGATCATGGCCGGCCAATGATATATTGGAACTAAGCCAGAGTAAAACACTCACTCATATAGTATAAAAGAATTGCAATTTCTACTCCTAGCAGAAAGTATCCAATATGTTTTGCCAAACTCATAGCTCATCTCGTAAACTTGATAGACGTACTGAGATGAAAATCTTTAAACATCGGTTGAGTACTTACTAATAGAGTGAGTAGCATATAATTTGGTCAAGGAGTAGTATGGTGGAGAAAGTGAAGGAAAAGCTGGTTCAGGCTTTGGAATCTCTGGAACTTTTGGCTTTGGTAGTTGTGGGATTTCTGGATTTTTCAAGGGAGGAAGCTCGGTTATTTTGGCATTGCTGGAATCTCAAACTTTGGCATATAGCAGGAAGCTCTGGTTTTGGGATAGTTGGGATCTCAAACTTTGGCAAAGTTGGTAAATAAGGTTTTGGACCAGATAGAGTAGCTTATATTTGAAGATAGAAGTCCGGGATTCACAATATACCGCAAATGTCAATACAATTCTCCAAGAAATGAAAAAGAATAATTCAATACTGAAAGAATAGTATATCAGATTCATATAAAAGGACTGTTGCATTGCATACAGGGGAGGATTTAGGTAGGATGAAGGGCATCCAAAATTTTATTAAATACATATATGTAAAATAAAATACTTCAATTATAAATAAAAAAAACCAAATGAAATCACTTCCCATAGCCTGTTGGTTCACTGGCAAAGCACCTAACTTTGCTAGCAAACTTAGCACGGTTACTCAGTAGCTGCCATCTTTTATTTTAAAATTTTAGAGTTTTATGGTTTGATAAAAAAGTGATGCCTGGTAGAATCGATACGACTTTCTACCTTTTGTAAGGAAAAATTATACTAAATCAGTTAGCCACAACAACTTTTGTTGTACGAAAGGGACACTAAATAACCATAAACGCTACTCGGATTCAAATATTTGATCACCACATGTAAAACCCGAGCTTTGGAAATTATTGGCTACAATTACTTGGGACTTGGCTATTTCTTTCTCGGCTATGAAGTTGATTAATATCGATTTGTCAAATCAAATTAATGATGAGTTTTTGGGTGGTTGATTGTTGTTTTTACCTTAAAAAAATAATGCTACATTTAAGCATGAAGCATTGGTTATTCTCAATCTTTCTTTTAGAGCAGGCGAAATAGAGGAAACTAAATCCATTTAATATGCGTTAGGACAAACGAAACAAAAAGTAAAAATACCTAAATCATCAATTTAGTTCTACAGTTAAATATGCTAATTCATTCTTTATTCCATATATATACTCTTAAAATGTAATGGAAAAAATTGGTTAGTATAAATTAGGAAAGAAAAAACAGAGAGGGCATGAGTGTAAGGAGTGAGCAAAAACAGAACTTGCCAATGATACGAACTAAATCAAAATAACATAGATCATAGCTTATTTATAACGAAGAACATAAAACACTCATATAGCATAATGACACGTCAAATGGTACATCCAATTCAAATACTATAAAAGAATTAAAATTTCTACTCCTAGCAGAAAGTATCCAATGCTATCTCCATGACACAACTCGGGTGGCAAATTTCATAGACTGAGATGGAAATCTCAAAACATGAGTTGGGTACTTTCTTATAGAGTGAAAGTAGCACATAATTTACTCAAGGAGTAACAGGTTTGTATGGTGGAGAAAGTGAAGGAAGAGTTGGTTTAGGTAGTTCTGGAATTTCAGGCTTTGGCATAGTTCGGGCTTTTAGCTTTGGTAACTCGGGGAATTTTGTCTTTGGTAGTTCTGGAATTTCAGGCTTTGGTATGGTTGGAAGCCCAGGCTTCGGCAGAGTTGGGATTTCAAGCTTTGGCAAGGCTGGAACCTTTGGTAGTTCTGGTTTAGGTATCTCAGGGACAGGCATCTCTAGGAGGTGGCGTGCAACCGCACCAGTTATGTTGCCATGAATGAAGAATAAATTAAGAAATGCAAATAGTAAGAGGGAGGATATGTTGGAATGCTGACCCATTTTTATGCAAATAGTTGAAGCGAAAAGAAGAATAATTTGTAGGACTCAATGTGAGTGGGATGTGGCATTAGCTTTAAGTCTGTTGCTTTATATAGTTTTCAAGAATGCAATTACAAGGACTTTCTGTTTGTTAGCCACGGACCTGAGTAGTTGAATTTCTCATCAAACTAATCAGCTTCCATCCTGGTACATGAAAAGTCAATTTAGATGACCTAAATTACTTAACAGTCTAAACCCGTCTCTTGCATATAGGTTATGCTGGCAACCTAATAAGAATTCTTAGCTTAGCTGATTTCATTTCTTTGAAAAGAGAAGAAGTTTTCACTTTTTTACCTCAAATCTTCATTCTGGTGTGTACATAATTACTGCAATCTTTGATAGTTAATACTTCAAGTATCACTATCAAATTACTTGAGACTTGGCGTATTGCTTTTTCCGTGATGAAGTTGATTAAGATTGATCAGTGAAATCAAATGAATAAAGAGTTCTTAAGTGGTTGTTTGGTGTTTTTACCTTATACGACTATTTCTAACGAGATTATTATGACTAAAAAATATGTATACTGTTATGAATACATTTTAAAAAATGAGAACTCGCCGACGAAACTTATAGTAATAAACTAATATTTTTAATATAATGTCGCTACAATATTTGTTCCTTTAAATATGGACACACTTACAAATTATTTTGCTTACGCCATGGATACATATAGCTTTGGAACGCTGAAATTTTAGGTTTGGTATAGTTAATACTTAAGGTATTGGTATTTCAGGCTTTGGTAAGGCTGGAATATTCGGGGATTCTGGTGTAGGGATCTCAGGGAATGATGTCTATAGAAAGCGGCTCGTGTAGTTGCACCAGCTAACTGATCATGCATGAAGCATAAATTGTCCTTATCATTCTTTTGGAGAAGGTGAAGCAGAGGAAATTGAATCCATTTAATGTGCATTAGGATGAATGAAACAAAAAACACATTAGTTAAATCACCAGTTTGGTTCTACACTAAAAATGTTAGGTCCACTCTGTTTTGTGGCACTTATATATACTAAAAGAGAACATACCATTTTGTGGTACAGGTACCTGAAACGTTATCAGAAGAGGTGCTAGCGAAAATGAGTGCACCTCCAAAGAGTGATGTGCCTATTATAACACCTCAAGAACTTGCTGAAGCTGATGGTTTTGTTTTTGGATTCCCTACAAGGTTCGGAATATTGTCCGCTCAGTTTAAAGCATTCCTTGATGCAACTGGAGGTCTATGGAGAACACAACAACTAGCTGGCAAGCCTGCAGGCATATTCTATAGCACTGGATCCCAAGGCGGTGGACAAGAAACAACACCGTATGATCTTATTTCACATAAATTCATACGACTAAACATGATAAATTGTCGTTCTCTTCCTTGTTATTGTTTTAACCCGAGGTATATGATAGGTTGACTGCTATAACTCAGCTTGTTCATCATGGAATGATATTTGTACCCATCGGATACACATTCGGTGCTGGCATGTTTGAAATGGAAAACGTGAAAGGAGGAAGTCCATATGGAGCTGGAACATTCACTGGTGATGGCTCCAGACAGCCATCTGAGCTTGAATTGCAGCAGGCACATCACCAAGGTAAATACATCGCTGCCATCGCCAAGAAACTCAAGGGTGCACCCTAATTTCTCCTGCAAAGACATTCTTCTAATACATAATTTATCTATGTGATTGTCAAAGTCTACTATTTTTAATTGGGTATGGCATCTGTATGTATCTGATTACTCTGTAATGGAAGAAATTGGTTACTATAAATTAGGAAGGAAAAACTGTGAGGGAAAGAATGGACAAACAGAGACGGTCAAGGATAGGAACTAAACCGAAGTTACATATATCAAAGCTTTATTATACTGTCTATATAGAAATACATAAAACACTCATATATTATAATAACACGACAAACTCGGTACATCCAACTCAAAAACTACTATAAAAGAATTAAAATTTCTACTCCTAGCAGAAAGTATCCAATGCTATCTCTATGACACAACTCAGGTGGCAAATTTCATAGACTGAGATGGAAATCTCAAAACATCAGTTGGCTATTTTCTTATAGAGTGAAAGTAGCATATAATATACTCAAGGAATAGCGGGTTTGTATGGTGGAGAAAGTGAAGGAAGAGTTGGTTTAGGCAGTTCTGGGATTTCAAGCTTTGGCATTGTTGGAACTTTTAGCTTTGGAAGTTCTGGGACTTTTGGCTTTGATAGTTCTGGAATTTGGAAGTTTTGGGACCTTTGGCTTTGGTAGTTCTGGAATTTCTGGCTTTGGCACACTCGGTAGCTCGAGCTTTGGTAAAGTTGGAACATCAGGCTTTTTCATAGCCGGAGGAACCTCAGTCTTTGGAACTGCTGGGATTTTTGACATTTTCAAGGGAGGAAACTCTAGTTTTGGCATTGTGGGAATCTCAGGCATATTAGGCTTTGGCAAAGTTGGTAACTGGGGCTTCGGGAAAGTTGGTAGCTCAGCCTTTGGAACAGCGGGGATCTCAGGCTTTGATATAGTTGGAAGCTCAGCAGGTTTCGGCACAGTTGGGATTTCAGGCTTTGGCAACGCTGGCACTTTGGGGAGTTCTGGTTTAGGTATCTCAGAGAGGGGCGTCTCTAGAAGGTGTCGTGCAGTTGCTCCAGTTATGTTGCAATAAATGAAGAATAAATTGAGAAATGCAAGTAGTAAAAGAGAAGATAAGTAATAACGCTGAGCCATTTATCTGCAAATCTTAGAAGATTAAAGAATAATGTGTATATATAAGAGTGGATGTGGGATTGGGTTTATATAGGTTTTTAAGAATGCATGCAACAAGGACTTGTAGGATTTTGTTTGTTAGACAGGGACCTGAGTAGTTGAATAACTCATTAAACTAATTAGCTTATTGTCTGGTCAAATGTAGATGACCTAAATTACATTGTAGTTTGAACCTGTCACAAGCAAATAGGTTATGCTGGCAATCTCATATATTATTCTAAAAGTTTAGTTTTTATTTTATATTATTATATTTCATTTTCTTCTCATTCTCAACCTTACTACGTGATTCTATGCAATTTTTTCTTATTATCTATTTCTTTATGCCATGCTTATTTTCTCATTAGCATAATTCTATTAGTATTCTAATTTTTAAATTAAAATAGAATTTATTGTTAAGTAAGCTTATAGACTTAGGTGTTTTTTTTAAAAATCATATTTATGTATGCTATGTTGAAATTTGCGATAAGAGTATTATGTTAAATTTTTTTATTTTAAATTTATAACTTATGGTATATTCTCAGTTTCATTTGTTTTAGTAATATACATTGCAAGTCATTTTTTAATTAGACTTGATAAATTATCTTTTTGTCAAATATTTTAATAATTTATGACATTTTATTTATATATTTATCTTTTTATCAAACATGCATTTCACGATGTTCTTAGAAACTTCATACTTTTAATTTTTATGATCAATTCAATTGAAATATATTAATTTGAAAAAATTGTAAATCAATTATTTTTTCATCATATTAGTTAAGAACATATGTTTATTAATTAATATGAATCCTACAATAAAACTAAATTAAAAAAGTCATTATCTTATACCCGACCAATATCTTATGTATTAGAGAAAAATGCTTGTGTTTTTTTTTTTAAATAAAAAAAATACACGTAAAACTATTTCTAGTGATTGAAATATTTTGGGGGTAAAATATGGTGGATATAAGTAGGTACACCATAGGCAGCTTATAATTGATGCGTCCAACTAAGTTCAATAATTTTGATACACATGTTAGAATATGCACAGCGGAAGCATTTTTCAGAATCACAAACTTACATAAAAGCATAATAATGTAATCTAAATAAATTGTGAAACTCTAACCTTTTGTAGCTTTCACACAACTCGTTCAGGGACTGGGACTCCAGAATTGCAGTCTTCTACTAATTCCTGACTAACTTTCTTAATCAAGTCTTGTGTGGACAAGAAATTTTCAAAAAAAAGTTTGCCTTTCCTTGAGAAACACCACCCCTATTTATACTTTTCAGTATAAGGGAAAGGTTTGAAAGATGAAATGTTTCTAGTCATAATTAATGGTCATTAATAGTCATTAAATACCTTTAGGTGTATTTGGACACTGTTAAGTGTATCCAATAACCATGATCAATAGTCATCAACAACCATTAAATACCATTAAGTGTATTTTGACATGGTTAAGAGTATCTAACAACCATGATCAATAGTTATCAACAACCACTAAATATCATTAAGTGTATTTAGAAAGTCATTAAACACCAAGGGTAATCAACAACCATTAAACACCATTAATAGCCACTGATAACCATTAAACACTATTATTTGTTTCTTTCATCTTCTAAGGAAATAAAACATTGCAGTATTTTCTTTTTTCTTCTTTTTAAGGG